AGGGGTCCAATCAGGACTTCTGCCCTCCTTTCACAAGACCATTCCGGTTGTTTCGTCTTCGTTCTCTTCATTTTCTATCGTCTTGTTTCCGATTTAACACAGATGTCTTAGTTCTCCCCAGTTGACACTCATTATTATGCCACTTTGCCTCTTTTGTCCTCTTCACTCAACTCTTTTCCGATCCTTTCCGTTTCTTTTGCAAACTCTTTTGGCACTTCTTAACTCTTTTACTTTAGTTTTTGTGACTTTCAAAGATATTTTTGTTCGTCAAAAACTAAGAGAAGACGTCTGTGACTGAAGATTGCCAACAAACCAAATTCATTAATTTCAGTGCTTAGATGGAGATGATGAAGTAAGAATGAGATGAAGAGATGATGAAGTGAGAGACAGAAGAAGGAGAATGATACTTAGAGTACTGGAGAGAAGAAGAGAGAGAGGGAGAAAGTATCATTCTAGAGTGTGTGTATGGGTAGAGAAAGGAAAGTGCACGGAAGTGCTTGGTATCTTCATTCAAGTTATCAAATCATATTAGCTTCATGTGATTTGTGTATTGAATGGTTGAAATGGCCAACAACAAGGTGTTTTGTATGTTTTTCGTCATCGTTCCAACTCGTCGTCGTCGTCGTTGTCATCGTGGTCGTCGTTTTCATCCTAACTCACAACGCCTCATTAGAAATTCATCCGAAAAGTAGTTGTCAAAAGATTTGTTGTCTTAAGCTTCTTTCTCTCTTCACACCTCATTGTCATTTACTGTTATATGTTTTGGTTGCTTTCCTATTTACTGCTTGTTCTTTTCTTATTTTATTTACTTGTTAAGAATCGTTTTAAACGTCTGAAAGAAGCCAGAAGCTGCTTCTTCGTCTTCCTTCACTATCTTCCTTCTCTTCTGCTTCAGCTTTCAGCGCTCTCTCCTCCTTCTTCTATTTTGATTTTGTAATAAATATAAACATAACTATATGTGTTCATATAAATACTTTTATGGACAAAAGCTTCTTCCTTGGATTAAGCTATTAAACATTTTCTTACAAACTGACACCACTTGTGTGTGTGTGTGTGTGTATCTCACAACCGCCAACACTACCACCATCAACTTTCAAACATATCAAGCTCACTGCTCAACCAGCATGAGCATGAAAGCGGAAAAAACTTAAAAAACTCACAAAGTTGGAGAGAAAAAGAAAAGTTTTTTTTGTTGTTTTACTCCCAGTAGTTCTTATAATATATTTGAACAATCTCTTTTCGAATTAGTAATTGAAGCGTAAACATTCCTTTACTCTCTCTTAGCTTCTCTCTTTGCCTCTCTGTCCTTCTGCTATCTCTCTACACTTGCATTCTCTTTCTTCTTCTTCTTCTTCTTCTTCTCTCTTTCCCTCCCATATACCACCCTCCTCTTGTATATAAAGAGTACAGACGAGAGAAAAAGCTTAAAAGCCGGACATATTCATGTGCCGTATACGGAAATAACCCTGGAACCTTAAGCTTTAACATTTCTGTCGGCTTTTATCCCCTCATCTCCACCTTCACGAACGTTTCTCTATTATATTTTATTATTATTATTATTATTATTGTTATTATAGATTATATATCCCTGTTCCTTACGGCTTCTTCAATTCCCTCTGCCCCTCGTTCACTCTATTCCCCCTTTCCTCCAATGATTATAACCATTTGAGGGATGGTGAACGACCGATCAACCAACCAACCAGACGAATGCAAAAAAAAAATTCGGCATGACCTCTGTGCTATGAGTGAATGAAAGATTTATTTTCTTTTGTTGAATGCAACCGCTCTCTGCAGATAATCAGATTGAATGAACGATTGAAGAGCTGTATGATCAGAGTCACGTAATTCTCCACGTGGATGGATATGCAAATGAGCTTCAAACATATGCTTTTGAGAGAAACAAAACAAACCAGAATTACATTTTTAAATGATTTATTATGTGTGAAAGATGAAAAAAACAATATATTTATTTGTTTGTATATGAATGAAAAGCTTTGCTGTCCATGAGTTATGAGCGTCAGAACACAACAACGACATGCTTCAATGTTTCTTTTTTTGATTTGAATATTGCTTTCTTAACCTATTCTACTCTCACCCTTACTCTCTATATGTGAGTGTAACAGATAATATTCGTATAATCTGGATGTAGTGAGATGTTTTTCGGAAACAGATGTTGAACCATTTTTTTGATCCAAAAACTATTAGAAAGATGCTTGGCGGTTGAGAAAGGAGTAAGAAGAGAGAGAAAAGATGGATGGAGAGGTGATAAAGTGGTTGCAATGATGATGATCCAGAGGAGATGTATGTATGCACATATAACTTTACTATATGAATAGATATTGTATATGTTAAGTTAGGAAAGAATTTTTTTTTCGAGAAAATGCTTAGATGTATAGAGTGTATGCATATGTTAGAGATCTCAATGTTCCATCTACTAGGACTATGTTATGAGATGAGAATGAGACAGCTATAGATCCAGACGAGCAGATGAAAAAGCATTAAACAGATGAACAGCTTAAACACAGAAAATGAAGAAGCCTCAGGTGTGAAGAAGGAAGATTTCGAGGTTCAAAATCCTTTCGACTCCGATTGCCGCAGGGCACGCGATGTTCACATTAAAAGATGGTGGGGAAATGAGTGTTATCCATCATTATGTCACTTTGTCAAGCTTCTATTCTATTAGCTTACCTTTCATCCCCCCCCCCTTCTCTCTTCCTCATTCTTTCCCCCTCTCTCTCTCTCTATCTCCCTCGTTCTCCCACATCTCACTTTCTCAAAATATTTATTCAAACCAACCTTTTTTCTTCTTCTTTAAGCAGTTTATCAAAGCAGACCACTAAGATTTGAATGAAAAGCCACTAACACAATTTTCGTCTGAACGATATGGGCAATTAGAGTCTTTTGACTTGTTGTCAATTTCGATTGATTTGTTGTTTTTTTTTCTTTTACCTTTCATTTTTCCTTGTCATCAAAGCTTCTTCATGCCTTCTTCCAGCTTTTCCTTTCAGTTTTTTGTTCTCACCCCCTCCTCTCTTCGTCTCATATATAGATTTCTATATAACCCCATCCTACTCCCTCTTACTCTCTTTCCCTTCTACTCTCACTCTCTCCTTATATAGGAATTAAGAACCAAGACCTTAAGCAATTTAATATTCGGAATTAAATAACTTTTTAGTTTATTAAGCAAAAATACCAACAAATTTACGTATTTGGAAGTGTAGGGGGGACAAGAGAGAGAGAGAGAGAGGGAGAGGGAGAGAGAGATAGAGCAATCTATTGGTTGTGCAGTTACCTTCTCTCCTTTCGTTGTGTTCGTTTCTCTCCAAAAGTAGTTCCTCTCTTCTAAACATGCCAATACAATTGTTTTTCTTCTGTTAGTGACGCTGTTTTAAAAGAAAAAGAAGGAAAGTTGGAATCAATGGTAACTTCAGCAGGCGAAGGAGAAATCTTAAAACAACCACCCCCAAATGGCCTTATTAAGAAAACAAAAAGTTGTCGTAAAACTTCTTTTTTCCCTTCTCTTTTGCAACTTCCACTATATCCCTTCAAAGAGCACATTTCTACCTCTCACTATATCTCTGTCTATCTATGGTTTTCTCTCTCAATCTCTCTCACACTCTCTCTCTCTCTCTCTCATGAGTTATTCTCTCTTTTTACCTCCTTTTCTCATTTTAAAATTTATAATCGTCAGGTGTAATTTCATATTTTATGTCAAAATCAATATTCTCATTCATTGAGAAGTTGTCTTAGAAAAGGAAACTTTGATCAGCCGATTTGACAATCATCTCACTTATTAACTTGATTTCCTTCTTCCCTATTAGTTTCGTTAAGCTGACATGGCTTTTGCGTTGCCTTGTGCATCGTTTGAGCATCGTTTGAGCATCGCTTGCCTCCTCACAATCATCCTTCTAACTATTATAAAGATTCTTCATTTCAAATATTTTTCTTCAAATAAATAGATTAAAATAAATATTAAAACTGCTGTCAAGAACCATTTTTCGTCTTCGATCGCACCTATAGCCCGTTCCCTTCATCATACCTCTTTCCCTTCTCTCCCTCTCTCTCTCTCTCTTTCTTCTTCTACATCACTCTCCTTCTTTCTTCATATCTTGTCTCTCTTAACCGTTGTTAATCAAAATAATTTTCTATTTTCTCACAAAAGCTTTTACCCTTGTAAACTTTCTTTTTTACTTTTCCATTTCATAGTTGGAAATCTCATTCTCTCCTCTCCTCTCCTCTCTTTCTCTTATTCCTCCTCTCTTTACTTTCATTTGACTTCAGTTGTGGTTTGAAGCTTCTTCTTCTGCTTCTTCTTCTTCCGTCGCTTGGTTTTTGAAATTTGAGGAGTAACAACTGGCTTTATCGCCTTATATGACTAACACATACATTCAGCTGCTTATTACGAATTTCATCAATTAATTTTTGCTTTTGGAATATTCGGTTTCGTTGTTCTGTGTATAAGGAAGAGAGGGAGAGAGGATGAAGGGAGAGAGAAGGTAAGCTCTGTCTGTTTGATACAAACGAAGAGAAATCATTGAACTTTTCAATTATTTTTCAAGTGAAACACAAAAAACTGTTAAAAAACTAAGAGAGAGAGAGAATGAAGTCAAACATTCAAATTGAAAATTACATTTCCAAGTACATATCTGGTTGAGTGCAAAAGTCATTGGAGTGGAATAACTTTCGTTCTCATTGCAGTTACTTGAAGTTGTAAAGGTGAGCGGCTAATGGTTAGACACAGAATGCTTACAAAAGAGGGAGCAACAGATAGAGTAGTAGAGAATGAGATAGAGAGACATGAACAGAATGAGAAGGACCATGTTCTGAGTAGAAGGCAAGAAAGGCTATCCGACCAGAAAAGACAGAAACTCGCAAAGGACCTTCTTTTCTCTCATTTGACTTAACTATGCTTGTTATTCTTGTATTCTCAATGCTATCTTCATATTCTCATAACTGTAACCTATGATAATCGCTTATACTTCAGATTGTTAGGCGATGTGATGAAGATTTCGTTGTTCGTCATCACCTTTTTCGTTCTCGTGCAGATAGTCATCTCACAAAGATCAGACTACTCCAGACATGGTCAGTTGTCCTTAATCACCTCCCTTCATATTCATAATCTTGTTTAAGGCTTGAAACTACGATGTTTCTCCTGTACTACCTCATATCAGTGTGAATCCGGAACATGTTATGGAGATTTCTGCATGAAAATCATTGGTAAGTAATGGTTCACAGTGAATTCTGTTCTGAACGGAGTTCAAAAATTGAAAATCATACTTTCATTTCAGCCAGTGAGTCTTATGTAGTGAAAGGATGTGAGAATATAACGTGAGTACTAATTGAACTTCCTCTTTCAATCTCTTAGCACTTCATTTTCATATAATCGTCATCTGATGCACTTTGTTTCAGACGAACTGTCAATTCGGAATTGTACGATCCGCAGTATAAACAGAAAAGCTATTGTAGGGTAGAAGAAATCCTGGGTGTTGATGCCGTCATCTGCTATTGTCGAGACTCAGATTACTGTAATTCAAGTATTCATTTTAATATTTTCTCATTTTTGATATATTTTTGTATATTTTTAATATTCATCATCTAACTCATCTGACCTCACTTATGTTCTTCTCGTCAGCATTTCTTTCACTGATCTTTAGGTTATAAATTGATTTCATGTGTGTCTTTGTACATCTTCTTGTCTCCTACTCATACACGTCTTCATCGTCTCCTTCATCGTCTCCTTCTTCATCGTCTCCTTCTTCATCTTCTCCTTCTTCTTCTTCTGCCAACTATATCGAATACAGACAGGTTCAAAATATTCTTTTTTTTGTTTGTTTCTCTTTATTCATATACAAATAGAAATTTTTATTTTTCCCGTTTCACAAAATAAATATTCAAATCGAATCGTCTTAGTTTGTTCAACAAAAAACATTTTCGTTACAAATGACCTGTTATGGGAAGCATGGACAATCAGCTGTAGCAAGATGCCATCATCTTCTTCTCTCATCTTACATCTACATATACATACATACATACACATCTACTACATGTGATGATGGATAAGAGAAGTCAGAATTAAGAGATCAATATGAAAGCCTGAGTGAGAGTAATGCAACAAGGTAGTCGTATACACATACATACAAAGCATTTTATACAATAATATTCCTAATAGCACTAGTTTATGCCAATCTTATGCCACATACATACTGGTAGTCCATGCTTCTTGAGCATATGAATCCAATGAGCTTGACCTGTACCTTGTCCTAAGCGACCAAGAACACAATGACCCACTGATATGGCTTGACCATCATCTTCATGATCAAACATCTGCAAAGAAGAAAACTCATTATCATATTCATCACATCAACACTCACCTCAATTACGATATGACACTTATCTAACTTATCAGGTGTTATATGAAATAAAAAAGATTCAGAGAAGGACGCATCTCCAGATGACGACGACAATGACGATGAGACAGACGACGATGAAGGCTTAGATGATGATCTAGAAGTAGTTCAATGAGCATATTGTTTATAATATTATAAAATCTTACTCCATCGAAGATTTGTGACGAACGGATGGATTAACAGTTGTTTGTTTCTGTTCAATCAGTCGTCTTCCATCGAATAACATAATTCGCGCAAATGGAGCTGAAGTGGAATGAGGGAGAGTATGAGCTTTGAATTCATTTCAAACTTACAATTGTTGAAAGGTAAGCACTTGGCTTTTTTCACGGTAGCCGTAATAAACTGAACGGTTGAAGCATACGTCAGTATAGTTAGTAACTCACAATCACTATCAAGAGAATTCTGTAATAGTGGATCATGTTGAGAAGGTGCAATCATCAGGAGTACTGACCTTATTGGCATTGTAAGCCATATGGAAATCTAGGTTATCTTCCGGACTTAACCGAGCAATACGTTCTGGATATGTTTCATCTTCGGTCTGAATGGCAAGAATGTAGAATGCAAAGGTTAATCTCTCTTACTGCTAATATCCTGTCTTCAAATTCGCATTCAAAGACTGTTCGCTGACCCGGATCCTCATTAGACAAGAACTTCGTCCAAGCATCTTTGTGTGGAGCAACTTTTTCATCTCGCAGCTCTATAATATAGTTTGTTAATATAATTAATATAGTTAACAACGTTTCACATGCAACCGCTCTGCTGACGTCATTTCATTTCAAATGAAGCTGGCAGAGCATTGCGTTCACGTCAATTTCACGTCAGCGCACGTACGTAGATCAAAACGTAATTAGCATAACTAACAAATTATTTTTTCATTTCACTTTTTGTTTTTGAATATGCTAATTATATGTAAATGATGTATATATATATTTGCTTTTTTACCTCCATGTTTCTCTCCCCAATCTCTGTGCTCATGTTTTCCTGCTCGTCCATGCTTTGTTCCTTGAGGTCTAGGATCTCTGTAAAGACAAAGATATTATAACACAATCCATATATGTACATATAAGCAAAAAAAAAGCATTTATAATATGAAATCTATTCACCTATGAATTCTATTAGCTCTGGATGCTGGTGCTGGCTGATTCTTGCCAGCTTTATTCATATTCTTGGGAGCCCATCCAACAGATGGATCAGTTCCTGCTTGTTGTGGTGGCTGAAACAAAATTAAAAATTATTTTCATCCATTTCATTTCATTTAACTTACAATTTTATGTAATTGAACAGCTTTGTGTGGCAGATTTTGAAATGATTGATACTCGAAGAAGTGTTTTGCAATGAAATTCATTCCCTGTAACAATGGAGAGCGGTTAGAAGGTGAGTTAGGACATTTCGTTATAGGGCTCGGGGTATATAGGATCCAATGTGATCCTTTGTGTTTTTCAGTGTTTTCTTTTGATTTTTATAAGTAAGATATTTATAAGTGATACCCTATGTGGACTATCATATGAATGACTTCTGGGCGATGGTGTTCTAACTTGGAATATCCTAGGATGGCGCTTTTGACGCCACCAAAACGCTGCTACGGTTGAATCATCCAAAGATGGCATTCTATTCACATACATGACATCTATTTCATTAACAGTACGAGAGGTGATATCGAGAGAAAGAAGTGAGCAAGTAGTTGAGAGAGAAAGAAGAGAAATCTGTTTTGAGTGGAAGGATTTCGCATTATCATTGAGTGAATTAAGAATAGGAAGAGCTTAAAGGGCGATGGAACTGAGTCAAGAAGATGGCTAGAGATGGACACATGTCAATGAACTTTCACAAATTTCTCAAAATTAATTTCAAATTTTGGTTTTACTAGAGAAGAGAATTACATTTGAGTGCTGAGAAGGATATTTATTCGAATAAAAAATAGGATGAAAAGCCATTGGGAGCAATGTGTGTAAAGGACAATTTGATTATGTGAAAGACTATCGTTGTCCATTAAACTACATCGAGATAGAGAGACTCATAGCTATATATGGATAGATTGTGTTTACATATGAAAAAAATACGTTTTGTCTCTTGTCTCAACCCTTTTCTTTACGAGGGAGAAGACAGACACGAACGATGCTCACAAGAAGTGAAGATGGCTAAGGCGGGAGGAGGATGGCGATAGTTTCATTCACAGCTCTAAGCAGGTCATTTGCCAAACGAGCGATGAGCTTATTTGGTATCCGTGGGGAAATCTTAGAAAACGAGAGTTAGCAAACCAAAAGATAATATGGATTTTCAAGAAAAAAATAAAAAATTAGGAATATATCAGAGAGAGAGAGAGAGAGAGAGATAGAGGGAGGAAATAAGGATACAGAGAGAGTGTTATAAGAAATAAGGAAGATAAAAAGAGAAAGAGAGAGAGAGAGAGGGAGATGAAGGGAGAAAGGAAGGGAGAGGAAGTAACGAACTGCAGATTGGGGGGTGATATGATGTCTTGTGTGTGAACGAAAGTTTGTTTTTGTGAAAAAAAAACTTTTAAAAGGAAATTGAAGACAAGACGAAGTCGTCTCCGATTTCTCGCCTTCAAAGCTGCGACATGAGTGGAATGAAATGAAAAGAAGAAGGAAAAAGGAAGAAAATGATGGAAAAATCAAATGAGACAGATGAGAAAATCAGTTTCTGTCGTTGTTTTTCTTATTAGGAAACGAACAAACATTTGTCTTTCATAGTAAAAATGAAAAAAAAAGTATTTTTAACAAGCGGATGTTGGATGCGCAAATGGAATGATTGCAAGGAAATGCAAGACGGATGACTATGGAGTACACGACTAAGGGAGTGGCGGACAAAAAAAGTTTGAAACATTGTCTTCAAGTTTTTGAAGCTTAGTTTGTAATTTGTTTTAAATATATAAAATGAATGGAATGTTTTGAGCTTTGTCAAGGAACGATTCATTCGGAGAGTATAGTGAGAAGGACAGAGAAGGAGAGAGGGCGAGAGAGGAGAGAATCAACTGTTTTCTCCTCTTTTTGTTCTTTTTTTATGGTTGAGAGGGAGATAAGCAGCAAGTTCAGAGGGAGAAATGAAGAAAATGTCTCTTTGATTAGCCACATTTGTCAGTAAGCTCACACTTCTACTGAATGGAGCCAATTCAAGTCATTGGCTGTGAGTGAGAAAAGAAATTCTTCATCGTCTTGTCGAAGCTTTCAAGTTGCTCATCTTCAAAATCTCTGTAGATGATGGACAGCTCATAGAGAGGGGGAAAGAGAAATGAAAGTAGAATGATGATCTTTCCTAAATAAGAAGTAGAGAGGGAATAACCTCATGTGACGTTGTAATAGAGAGAATGAGATTGAAAGAGAGTAAGAGGCAGATAAAGTGAAACAAAGAATAAGAGAGAGAGGGACTGAGATGGAGATGGAGGGAGAATGGGATGAGACAAAGACAATTTCATTAACCTCCCTTAAATTTATTTTTGAATTAAGAAAAAGTAAATTAGAATTAGATCGGCTGAAGCGAGTTGTAAAGAGAGAGGGAGAGAGAAAAGGAGATGACATGAGTGGGGGTATGAGAGAAGAGATAGAATGTATCTTACCGTATTTGGAAATTTAAACAAAAGTTTTTTGAAGATCGAAAAGAATTTTTTAGATTCTCCCTCTCACTCTTTCTGTTGTTGCTCTTTCCCTCTCACACACTCTCTCTCTTTCTCTCTGCCAGTGTTTATGAGAGAGTGAGAGATATAGAGAGGCGATTGGTATAAACTCGGAAATTTCATTGAAAAATGAAAAAAATCATATTTTGTCAGATGAAAATGAAAATAGTAAAGGGAAAAGACACTAAAAAATGAAAATAAATTTTTGAAATACAGAAAGGAGAAGGTCATATGAAGGTTGAAGGGATGTTTGGCGATCTTTCGACTTGAAGAGAGCAAAGTGAGAGAATAAGGAAAGGAAGGGAAGGATTACAAAGGGATTATTCCATTTGAACTAAGACACACAAATGTGTTGGCAAAGTACAGAAGAAACGGAATTTTTATTAATTTTTTTGACGAACAGAAGAGAAGATGAAGTGTAAAGAGGTAGAGGGAGATAGAGAGAGAAAGAGGAAGATAGAGAGAGAGAGAAGAGTGAGAACGACGACGTCCTCACAAATGATAACATTTTTTGTTTTTTCATCTTCTTTTTTTTATTTCAGGAATCAAAACAAGACAAAAGCTTAAGCTTCGATGAATTAATGAGATAACATGCAAGGAGGTAAAGAGGAAGAGACTAGGTCATTTAGAGAGATGGAGAGAGAGAGGGAGAGATGCTTTTTGCGTGAATTGAAGTCATTGCTAAATAAGGTCTGCTTGTAAGAAATATGAAAACGGAGACGAAGATTCAGAATGAAATGAGAACACGCTGACATCGCTCATTCCCTCCTTCTCTCTTTCTCCACTCCCCTTCTCTCACAAGCAAATTGTTTATGAAAAGACAGTGATGAGCTTCATCATGAGAAATTTCTTTTTTTGTGCAACTTTTTTATACAAATGAAGTTTTTCTAACAAATACTGAAGGTATTTGGTCTTGAGAGACATGTCATCTGACGGAAGTTTGAATATGAATTGATTTTCGAAGAGAAATCTATCGAGGGAGAGGGAGAGGAAAGAGAAAGAGGTAAATGGAAAGAGAAGGAGATGCTTGAGGCAACGAATGAGATAGGTTCAATTAATGAAGCGAGAAAATGAAATATTATTTGAGATCAAGTTGACTTCGAATGAAATCGAATCAAAAAACATGAGAAAGAGAGAAGAGAGTGAGGAGAGGGAGAGAAGATGAAGAGAGGGAAAAGCTTGAGAATGAAGAACATGTTGTTTGACAATTAAAAAACTTCTTCTTAAAAAGGAATAGCAAGTGGTTTTGTTGAGAATTAGCATCTAATGGGAGGGGAATGACAACCACAATAAGGTTTTGTGATGCAGCTTTTGCTCCTCATAGTACTAGACTGTTCTGCCTTTGACGAATCATATTTCCATGTGTTAGCAGTCGCACATTGAATATTTTAATTTTTGGAAAATAAATGATGAAAAACACAGTTGGAGTAAAGGGAGTTGCGGGTTGATTGCAAAGGATAATGAGCTTAGTACGAACCTCTATAGTAATGGGCTGGCCGTCGTTGATTTTGGTGAAATATTCTGAAACTTCTTGTTCGACGTTCAGCAATGACAAATCCGTTTGAACAGAGATTGCTGTCCTGCAATGGAGAAGACGTTAATTCCTTTTTTTGTTTTCTTTTATTGAATTGTATTCGTTTTCCTTATGTTTTTCCTCAATCCTAAGCTTATCCTCTAACAGATTTCACACAACGAAACGAAAAGAAGGAAAACGATAATTAGCATATTATGTCAAAGAAGGGGGGGGGGCGATATACATATAAGGCTCTCTATAAAAGACTTTTCTCATTCCCTTCACTCTCTCACTGTTTAACTAGGGCTATAGACTCTCTCCTTCATTCTCTATCATTCAGCTTTTTTTTGGAAAAACGAATTATTCTTTCAAATTAAGTAATTTCTCCTTCTCTCTCTCTACATGTGTCTCTCCCTCTATATCTCTCTTTCCCTTCTCTCTGTTAGTCTCACTATCAACCTCTTTATAAGGCAGTTCACTTTACAGACTATTTGTAAATAATATAATTGAGGAAATGAGAAGAATGCAAAAATTGGAAAATATCTTGTTTGATTTGAGAGTTCCAACCAACCGACGACGAATACACATGAAACTCAAATTTCATTTGAAAGTCATTTTTGATTTGCAATTGTTCGCAGAACTCTCTATTGAACTCTCATAATTTGTCGGTCAACCAGATTATAAATAGACGACCAAAGGAGAGGAAGGCACAGAGAGAGAGAGAGAGAGAAGGAGAAGCTGAGAGTTGGAAGATGTGTTAACTGAGTGCTAAAGAGGGAGAAAGAGAGAGAGAGAGAGTTTGGAATAAGAAAAAATAAGTTTTTACGATGAAACAGCTCGAAAGGAAAGGTTTTCTGAATGTTTTGGAAAGATAACGAAGGCACCCAACAAAAAAAACTTTGAAGAAGTAGATTATGGTGGGTATTAGCTTCTGATTGATGAGATGTCTTGAAAGATCATATAACTTACTTCAATTTTGAATTGGTTGGTTCGTCGTTAAGATGTAAGCTTTCAGAGAATTCAGAAGATAAGGTGTCGTTGTCAAAGTTGTAATCGTCAAGTTCTGAAATGAAGTAATTCAGTAGTAAAAAGCTGGCGCTTAAAAGCCATTATTGAACCGAAAGCCTAACACACTCATACACACACACATACAGACACAGGCACACACGTTTGCAATGCGAAATCTTCTCTCATCCTTTCGTATTTCTCTGAACAAAGTTAGAAAAATGTAATTGAATACATACTGCTCCATTGTAATTTCCCTTTTTTATAAATATATTATGTAAAACATTATATTTCTTATGTAAAATGAGCTTTTCCTATCCATCTCATTCTCTCTCTCTCTCTCTATCTCTCTCTCTATATTTCACACTATCACTATCTCTCATATATCATATACATCTATTTATGCTAATTTCACGTAGCTTATGCTTTGATTTGCATATTCTAATATCACGTGACTTTACCTCGTCTTACGTGAACTTCATTCATTTTTCATTTTTGACGCCTCAAAGGACGGTTGCATTCACACACTCTCTCTATCTCTCCCTCTTCACAACCAATTCTCTCTATCCATCTCATTAACGTATGAAACGGTTGCTGTCGAAGCTTTTCTTTTTTTAGAAACACGGTGTCAAAAGCTATTGAGACGTTAGTTGAATAGTCAATTATGAGGTATAAGTAGTCGTTTCATAGAAGATGTGATGATGATGTAACATAAATGAAACTTACTGCTACTTCGAGATAACGGGAGGAAATGATCAAGAATGATCGTGGATATGTTGTCATCGAAATCTGCCAAGTCTTCTGTCTGCTCAGATCTACAACAAACAAAACGTGAAGAAAAAGAAAAATTTCTAAGTGGATATGTCAATTTAACTCGGGCATATAGATGTCTTGAGTTTCTTACTCTGCATTCCCTCTCTCTATCTATCTATCTATCTCTCTCTCTTTCTTTACTCTCTTAACATCCTTTTCTCCTTTCTTTCTCTCTATCTCCTTGTGATTCTTTTGTGCTCTGTATTACTTGAACATCCTTCACATCAACGACGACGACGAGAACGACGAAGCATTCAGTCTCTATCATAACTGCCTTTAATGGTGCTGTTCCCAAAAAAGGAAAAAAAAAGAAATTTAATATAATCTCATAAATCTTTTCTTTTCTTTTCTTTCTTCCGGGTCCTTTGTAACCAATTTTCTTCTTTCAATCTTTTTTTCTCTTTTATTAATAAATAATGCTTTGAAACCTGGGTGACATAGCCGATAAACGACTAATCGCATCTTCCTCGTTATACAGCTGACGTAACTCTTCTGATTCTTCAGCAGTTTCTTCCAAACGATCCTCTGATCTTAAAAAAACATTTTTTAAAAACATTTTATTTAAAACTAAAATCAATTTAAAGTTAATGCTTGTATTAAACATACATTACAAAATTCTACCGTAATCTAAGCCAAGACAGTACCGGTCGTTAGTAAGGAAGGGGGAGGAGAGAAGAAAGGAGGGGGAGAGTAGAGTAAGAGGATAAGGGATTGAGAAGGATTACTGTGATCCACACACACATTATCGGTCTCAAGGGGAGAGTTAAGACATGCTGGGTTAAACTATTGGAAAAGAAAAAATAAAGAAAATGCTTTCTCTTCATTCTTTGTTGTGAATACTTGGAGGTTTTTTTTTCTTTTTTTCTTCTTCATTCACAAAGCTGAAGTTGTTCAATTGAAGGAAGAGGCTCTCCTTGTTCGTGCTCTACTGCTTAAAGGCTGACATACTGCCAAACATGGCCATCATTGAATTTTTACGAGAGAATTACAAAGTCCTATGAAGGTATTATGTGAGTCTTTATTTGTTAAAATAAAAAATGAAGAAAACAAAAAATAAAAATTTCAAAATTAAAAGACACGAAAACACAGAGAGAGAGAGAGAGAGAGAGAGAGAGAGAGTGAGAGAGCAAGAGAGAGAGAGAGAGAGTGAGAGAGCAAGAGAGAGAGAGAGAGAGAGTATAAGAAGTTCAGTTGTCTTTTGTCCACTATGATGAACCTGTAACTAAGATGGAACAACGAAACACCACACACACACACACATACACAGATACACACTAACACACATCTCTGTGTCTTTAAGAGTTTCTCAATCATTTTGGCAGATTACGGTAGATTATTTGTATTTGAAGAGAAGTTATTAGTTAATTTATTTAATTTTTAGTTTGGATAGTGTGAGAAGGGAGAGTCTGATAGGGAGAAGTTGAGAGAGAAGGAGATGACGACATTACATTGCCATTGCTCGACGCCTTTGTTCTGATTGTTCCATCTGTTTTCTCATCATACGACGTTCTATGAGATAATCTGCTGCTGCAAAAGGAAATTTTATTTTTCCCCCAATCAATTAAAAAAAGAAAAGTTAGAAGATCTTTCTTTTTATTATTGAAATTCGATATGTTGTTGAAGAGATACGAACCTGTGATGGGACTTGAATTTCTCTCCATAAAGTTCATGGCTTCTTCTTCTGATTCAGATTCCACCAATGGCGCCCTTGACGTTGTTGGCTGTTGAGCATAAGCTGATGATGATGAAATATTTGTTGAAATATGTAGATTCGACAAATCCGGACAAGAGACTAAAAAGTAAAGTACATGAGAACAAGTATTCAGAAGGGAGAACAGTTGAACTTACAAGTTCGGATAGGTCGGCTGTATGTGCATTTGCGACTATTGGGTATGTCATGTAAATGAATGATGTCGTCTTCTTCTCTAGTTGAATGACGTTCAATGACAGCTACAGCAGATTCAAGACGATCCTCCAGATGTCCCTGACTTCCCCGTCCAGAATCATTGGTTGTAGACGGTGATTTGCGCGATCGTGAGCCTTCAAAGCCATGTTATTATAAAATATTGAATTATTCATTAATTTCATTCAAGCACAAGTACAATATGATTTTCAAATGAACACCCGACACAATCTTTTTTTCTACCAAAATGTACTTTGACAGACATCTACTCAAAGAAATAGTTAGTGGATGTATCAGAGCTTATTCACATAAATAATTGTTGTCGTACGTTCTCACCGCCGTTTCAAACTTCATTTTATTCAAATTTATTTTATGACGTTCAATTCAATCAAATATGCTCGAGGACAGACTACACGAAGAACGACGTGCTGCTGTATAGCTCTCTCCTTCTGTCTCTCTCTCGGTATAAGTCTTTGTATGTACATGGGTGTATGTACTTGAGAACGAAAAAATAAAAATCCCCGTCTCTCTTACTTCTCTTCAGAAGGTTTTTACGGTCAATTACTGGATTGCAGTTCTTCAAACAATAAAAGTATCGCTGCATATGAAGCACAAGAGCTGCCCGTTCTTATGCCCTGAGGGGAAATTGGAGAACAAAAAAGTTCAAAAGACTAAATGGCCCTCTTTAATGTCTTTTCTGGGCATTCAAAGTGTAAAGATTGTTCTGCTTCTCTCATTCTCACTCTCACTCTCATATACTCTCTCTCCTCATTCTATATTTGGTAATAAACTAACCATTTATTAAATCACATGATTGAGAATAATCTCCTGAAGATTGATAAACCGTTGCTGTTGATTGGGATTCTGAGCGCTTGTCTCGTTTACCGAATAATCTGAAAAATGAAAATCATCATCATCATCATCATCATCATCATCATCCTAATGACAAAGAACTTGTTTCATTATAGATAGTGGAGGAGGATATGTTAAGATGAAGATTTGTGTTTTGAAGAGAGTGGGAGGAAAAAGGTCTGCTGACTAGCTTGGAACTATCTGAACTTTGATTTTACCAATACGGACATTTGACCATATTTGGTTTGCCGTCCTATTCTTTGATTGGTACTAACATCAAAGTTCTATTTGAAGAAGCTTGTAAAGTTCTCGGGTCAGGCAAAAGACAAAACTCTTGTGGCACATGAATGAAGCGTCCTGTCAAAGAGCTTAAACAGAAAGGAGGACAGATAGTCCCTCTAATTTATGTAAGAGAGGAAATAGCTTCAGAAAGCCACGGGAGATCTATAAGACGTGAGGAGAAGCAAACTTGAAAAGATGTTTGATGTTTAAAATCTTTTAACATTTGTCTTAAACAATTCATTTTCATATTTCACAAGGGAAATATTTGATTTCCATATATAGGCAAGAGCTGATGAATGAGCCAGCCATGTCAATCTCTTTCGTGAGGCTTTTACAATTTTCTTGAAGTTTGTTTGAACTTGTTGTGAAAAGAGCAAAGATGATGTTGTTCCTTTGAATAACATTAAGTAACTTACTTGGCTTTTAAGTTGGAAAAAGTTTTTTTCGTCGGCGACATTGGTGGAGAAGCTTTTGCAGGTGGAGATGAAGCATCTATGTATTTTCATTTCATATATTCGTCTTCTTAGCTTATATCATTACCTCTCACTGTACTTTCACTATCGGTTCGTGGACGATGAATATCCAATCCACTATCAGCTAATGCTCGATTCTGTTGACGAAGAGTCTGTAATAAGCTCATCCGACGTCTACGAGGCATTCCATATACAGAACTTCCACAACAATTTTGGGCTGCCAAAGCATCGTCAGACACATCAACTGCAAAGCATATTGAAATGATTTTGCTACTTCAGAGTTTACTCTCTCTGAACTCTTTCTCTCTCTGTTCCGATTGTTAATTAGACTTCTTTGGTCAGTTAATGGAAACCTAATATGTCTATCAAAATGTTCAAATTTTCTAATTTTTGGTCATTTGTTTCTTTAGTCGAAGGAAAAGCTTCGACAGGAAAGGTTCAAATCTAGACAAGCTTAAATCTCTGAATGAGACACGGCATTCACGGGGGCAGGAACAAAGAGGATGGAAAGTAGAATAGAGAGTTAGAGAGAAAGGGAGGATGAGGAAAAGCTGAGGAGAATTGCCATGTTGGAATATAATGCTCAAGTTCGTAGACCGATAGAAAATGAATGCCGAATAAGGCTCAAAACAACGAAATCCTTCAAAGGTCGCGCGATTTTACGAACAGAAATTTACTTTTTGTCTTCATCTCAAGATGTTTTTGCATTACGTTTGCACAGGATGCCCCTTCAGGCTGTCGATTGTCATTTAGCTTTTTGTGCTTTTAAGGCTTTAAAAGAAAAAGAAACTTGAAAAACGTGGGTGGTTGTGGTGGTAGTGGTTTTGGTGTTGGTAGGATGAGGAGTTAGAAGAACATCTTCGTCCTCTCCTTATAATCCGGCTTGCTTCAACTCTTTTTTCCGCAAATGACCAGAGAGCAAAAGAAACTTGAACCTTATGCTAATTTTCAATTTAAATTTGAATTTGCTGACCAAAAAAATGCCAAAAACGTTTAAAATTTTGTTTTTTTAGTCTCAGAGAGCGAAATGAAAAAATAAAAGAAAACATGAGCTTTGTATGGAAAGTGAATAGCCACACCAAAAGCTGAGAAAATATTAAAAAAAAAAATTTTTTGAGAAAAAAGAATTTGCAGGCAATTGTGTGTGTGAACTTTGGAACTTGAGAGAGATATTGGCGGAAAATTGAAGTTCTCTGTTAATCACATTCAGGTTTTTGAACATCTTCACCCCAGCTTTTCCTTTTTTCTCCTTTTTTGTCAATTTTGAACTTTCCAAATCAATTGAGAACAAAAAAGGAGTGATGAATAAGGAGAGAAGAAGCACAATCCTGTTGTAGTACAAGCAACGTCATGATTCCTCATATTACTCTCTCTCTCTCTCTCTCTCCCTCGCTCCCTCTCTCTCTCTGTGAATATATAGACTCTCTCTTTCTCTATCACTCATATACACTCTCTCTCTCTCTCTATCTCTTTTTTATTTTTGGAAAAAGAAGTTTTAAAAACAAAACTTCTTTTCTACTAGAAAGGAAAAGTTGTGTGTAAGAGGGCAACTAACCGCTAGTACATCGTCGAGTTGAAAGTCGTTGTCGAATAGGAACATGTGGAACGATTGGAGAGCAAAAAGGTTCTGAAAATGATTAATAATGAGAATGATGATTAGATTGATTGTTTTGATGGCTTTTTTTGGAATTTTAATTTTAATTCAGATGGTTTACCGTGGATGTCACCCATTGAGGCTCGAGGTACGCAAACACTATTTCTATATCGCTTCTGATTTTTTCGTTCAACATCATCAATTAATAAACGGAACATTAAATAGTCATTGACGACACCCATGTTGCCACTGAACATCTTCAAAAGAGAAATAGTTGGATGTAGTCCATATATGGCAAGAAAATAACGAGCAAAGACGATAAGCTGTACGTAGGGATTAAGTGGAATGTCCATTCACTACGAGATTTCTTTTTTTGACACAAAAAATTTGTTTATAGGAAGAACAAATCAGTAAACAAGTAAACAATCTGTCCAAACCTCTCTTGTTTCCTCTAGAGAGAGAGGACGTGAGAGAGGAACGAAAGAAGGGAGGGAGGAAGCGGGACTACACTAACACAGCGCAGACCTCACCCGACTATGAGGGCGGACAAAACTGACTGAAGGGGCGGACGTAAGACAAACGACCTCATCTTGTGTGAAACGCACAATTCATATTCAAAATTCTCAAAAAATTGCCATTAATTTTATTTTTTTGTCTAGAAAGAAATTATTTGTTGAAAGAGAAAGAGAGAGAGAGTGCTTATAGAGAGAGAAAGAAAGAGAGAGAGGAAGAAAATCATTTGTAGACTTCATATGGAAGCTGCAAACAAAAAAAATACTTGGACAGACTAGAGCATGGAATTGGCTGCTGCATCTCTTCCGGTCAGCTCATTGCTGATGAAGATGAGACACAACTTCAGTACTTCAATCTGTCCTTCTTGCAATCGTCCTTCACATCATCAGACTCATATTTTTCATTTTTATTTTGTGAATTTTAAAAAGAAAATATTTGGAAAAATAGAATATTATGCAGCTGTTACTTCTTGATAGTTTTTTTTGGCCAAAATAAATAAAACAAACCGATGAATTGAGGGTGGAAGAGAGCGGAAGGTTCAACAAAGACATTTTGAAGAAAGCTTGTGTGAAAGCCAAGCCAATTTTCGAAATGGACAAGGCCCCCGAATTCACAGGCACAAACTTTGGTTCTGATTAACGTCTTCCACACACACGATGAGATTCTCTTCCATATTGCTTTAGATCAGGGTAATTTTAGAAAATTGGAGAAAATGAAAAAAGTCGTTGAGGAGGCCAACAAAAATAAGCCGACGATGACGACGTTTGGAAGTGATGGCTGTGGAACGTTATTGAATTGAAATAATCTTAAATTACATTTGGGAAACAATAAGGAGGCAAGAAAAGGAAGTTTGGACGAACGATGGAACAGATAAAATGCCAAAAATGAGGAGATGAAGGAAAAGCATGAAAGCTCCTTCAAACTAGGAAAGTCAAAGATATCAGTTGGAGGCGGAGCTGCTGGCGGACCAAGAGGAAATGGGTGGAGCCATCTGTTGGTCGTTGTCGTCATCAGGATGTTGGTATGTTTTAAGAAAAATTGGACAAGAAAAGTTCACAAATTGCTCAAATTCTAATGTTTTTGGTGACGGGAGGGAGAAAAACGTTTTTCAAGTTCATTAATTTCTAAGACGACGAAAATCACAGCAGCACTCCCAAAAATGTGATCAAGAGGAGAGTTAGAGGGAGATAGAGAGAGAGATAGTGTGTGTATGTGTATGTATGTGTGTGAGTTGAGAAGAAGCTGGAACAGACAGAACAAAATATGTTTTCTTCTTCAGCCTTTTCTGTCGCCACACAAGATGATGAGAGAAAATGATTATGAAGATGATCTGTGGATTTCAGACAACTATCATCATTGTCAATTATTCTTGACGGACAATAATTGTTGTCAAACAAAACACAAAATAAACAAAAATCATCTATTTTTCAGCTTTTTCTCCATTCTCAGCTCTTCTCTACCTTCTTCTCCTCTTCCCTCTCTCTCTCTATCTCTCTCTCTTTACAATATTTCATTGAAATTCTGCAAAAATACTTGAGAAAATTAATTTTTTCATTTGGAAACTCAATTTGTTCAAAAATGACTGAAAAGCGACAAGTTTGTGAGGTGACAAGAACTTGATAAATCAAAAAATTGAGTCAAAGGTCATCAAAACAGACATAAGCTAGGCAGAAGTCATGGTGACAGCACAATTGACCTGATGTCATAAGATGATGAAGCTGACTAGGAAGCAATGTTGCCCTCCGGCAACTCCATCCTGTGACAAATTTTTTCTTTTTTTTCATTTTGGGACGGAAGTTCTTGAAAAATTGAAAAATAAACGTTTTGTGTATTTATCATTTTTTGCCGCACAACTCTTCATTTAATTGTTTTTTTCGAAAAAAAAAAATTTTCTTCTCCAAAATTGGAAATATCTTCTTCGAGCAGAAACCTGGTGCTGGAAACAGGAACCGTCGGAAACGGATAGTGGAGAATGAATTGCTTAAGAAGAAGAGGAGACAAAAAGATTTTCGTCCCTTCCTATTCCCTCTCTCTCTATCTATCTCTCTCTCTATTCCTCTTTATCTCCCTCTCAGCTATGTCCTATCGCATTCATCCCACACCTCCTCTCCTCCCTCTCCCTCCCTCCATATCTCTCTAACTATTCGAACTCTCTGTTCCAAAAATATTTTTAAAAGCATCAAATATCTTGAAATCCATTAAATCTTAAAATAACAAAAAGTAATGGAAGTTCTGACTTGGAATGTGTGCTTCAGAAGATATCAAAATCTATTTTATCATGAGATGTTCTGTGTTATTTTCATTCGTCTTTTACTCACTTCCTCTCCCTCTTCCTCTCTCTCTCCCTTCCCCTCCTTCTCTCTCTCTATCTATCTCACTCTCTCTCTCTCTCTCTCTCTCTCTCTCTTTATCCTCGGAACGTTTATCCTTCTTTCCTTCTGTTTACAAGAAATTTCCAATTGAGAAACAGATACGGATAACCTCCCTTCTTCATTCCCCCTATCACTATTTCCATTCTTCCTTCAGGAAACAGATTAAGGAGGGAAGGAGGGAATAACAGAATATGCTCCACAGAGACCTTACAGGTGTTGAGCCTCGTTAGACGCCTCTACCAAAGCCAACAAACTCATTTCATAGATGTGCCGACAAGAAAAACACATTAAAATGATTTGAGAAGGTAAACAGACGAATGTATTTCAAGTGAAATCGTCTGATCAACCACAGAATGTGGTAATTACAAAAGTTTCGAAGGAGCTAGGGAATAGAATCGGATGATGTTAGCACAAGACTGCAGGAACTATACTTCCACTACAGACAAGATCTCTGAACGTGTTCCGTATATTTATAGGGAGAGGGAGAGGTAGAGGTAAAGAGAGAGTAGGAGTTGATTCATACACATGAATATGCAAAGCACATGATTATGGTAAAGATTGAATGGGTTTCCAAGAGAGTTCTGCTCTTTCAGTTTCTCTTAATAATCTTTCTAATGAGGGGATGGCGGAGGAGAGATGACGGAAGGAAGAGAGATGGAAGCAATGAAAAAGTAAATATGAAAGAGTTTATTTCATTCGAAAATTTGTTATTTTCTCTCTTTGATATTCAAAATTGTATTCTCCTACCCCCTTTCCCTTCCTCTCTTTCCATCTCTCTCTCTCTCTCTCTCTATCTCCCTCTCAAGAGATTGTTTCTCTTTGAAAATCATTATATTTTCTTTCTCCTTCATTTTTCTGCTTCACAACAATATGCCCTGAGGGAAGTTTCAATCTTTGAAAAATGAACGACTGAGAATGAAAAGAAAATAGTTTGTTTCTTTTGTTTTCATTAATCTTGTCCAATTCTGAACTCTTAAATCTCTTCCTCGCCTCGCCTCACCCTGCCAACACTAGCAGAAATGAAAAGAGAAATGCCTCGAAACGAAGAAATGGTTTGATGTTCGGCTATGGAACACAAAGAGACTGAAGGGGAGGAGAAAGAGACAAATAAAGGTGAAAACCGTGAGATATTCGAGGGAACGAAAGGATTAAACGAAAAAAAAATCTTTTTTTTTATTCTCAGAATTGAAATCCGATCTGTTGATTGCGGAAGAGGATTGTTCTCTTCATCATCATCAGCAGTAGTCAAGTACAATTGTAGTTTTCATAGTATTTCGATGTATTATTAGTCATAGTTAGCATAGCTAACTCATCAACATCATCTCTCATACATGCACACTGATGACAGTCGGGTTTTTTTAATATTTTTTTGAACAAATGGAACGAAAAGCTTTAAATGTCACTTTCACACAAGCTTCAGCTAAAAGAGGGAGAAGGCTCTTCGTCTCGATCTCTTTCGCTTTGCCCAAAGAGAGAGAGAGAGAGACAGAAAGTTATTGGGTTGAATTGGAGAAAAAAAAACAAAAAGGAAAGAAGAGGATTTGCAGCATTGCGTGGATAGTCACGAACCATTAATTAACTATAAGCCCACTGGCTATATATATATAACTAACTTGGAACTATATCAGAGATATCTAATAATTCAAGAGTTTGAGGTCAAAAGCCATTGCAATTAGATTTTCCATGTGGGCTGACGCTCGTTGCACACGCGCAATGAGGAAGTTTCACATTGAATACGTTTTTGACAATTGGCGGAAGAAGAGAGAGAGAGAGTGAGAGAAGCTGTTAGAAATTCAAATGTTCCTTCTTTGCAGATGATTGAAAAGAAGAGAGCAAACTAGAAACAATGAAATAGAGATTTCACTCCATTTTATTAAAGCTTAATACCATATATGGCCGAATGCTGCAAGATGTCGGCGCAATGATGTTTGCACGTGTTTATTTCAACTTTTTTTCACGAAAGTTATTCATCCAAAAACGAATTTTTGGAGAATTCTTAATGACAAATGAAACATTTAACGAAATAATTCAATTTTCAAATATTCGCGCCATTAGCAGATATGCTGACAAACTGCCGCAACAGCTAATTACGTGAGAAACGTGGAAATGACGTATTGTCATCATTTTCATTTTCTGCAAACGCGCTGACCGGTTGAGTATGTGTCTGTCGTCTGTATGTATGTGTGCGTGTGTGTTCTCAACTAACTCATCTCCCAATAACAACAACAACACGTTGAAACGTTAATTATAAATCGAGGTGTTTGGAGGAAAAAGCTTTCTTCCTTTCATGGCAGTTGATGTTTTTTGGAAAAAAGCAAAGTAGAATACACTCATATGGTTGAACGTCATTGAATTTG